TTTTTTTTTTTTTTTGCGGTACGCGGGCCTCTCACTGTTGTGGCCTCTCCCGTTGCGGAGCACAGGCTCCGGACGCACAGGCTCAGCGGCCATGGCTCGCGGGCCCAGCCGCTCCGCGGCATGTGGGATCTTCCCGGACCCGGGCACGAACCCATGTCCCCTGCATCGGCAGTTGGACTCTCAACCACTGCGCCACCAGGGAAGCCCTGGAAAAATTTTAAAGCTCTTGATATTTCCTGCTGAATAACTCTCTGGAAACACTGTAAATATACTCCCAAAGGCTACAACAGTCTACGTTTTTTAAACAGACTGTTTGAGTCTGGAAATAGTGTATCGGATTCACTAGGGAAAAGATTAGCACTTTCAATTTTATAGAAGTTTACCAAAGCTGTGCTGTTCTTTGTAGAAGGGATTTTCAAGCCAGGAGTGCAGAATGTAGGTGCCACAGGAGAATGTGTATGCTCGGCATCTAGAAGACACATACAATGGCATGAAATACGTATTTGAAAATAAGGTTGAAATAAAGATTTTAACTTTTATATTATAATCTTTGTCAGTTTAATTTGTGCACTTTATTTTTAATAACTGAAGAAATTATAACTATTGTGTACTTGACTGGACAAGAAAAAACAAAACTGTCATATTCACAATCTAATTATCATTAGCACTAATAAAAGTTCAGCAGGGTTGCAAGATGCAAATGCAATACACAAAAATGAAGTTCTAGTATAAGATCAACAAACAATAAAAAATATATTTGAAAAAGAATATTTTTCACAATAGCAACAAAAAAGATAAGATACCTACATATAAATCTGTTAAAAACTGTGTAAGACCTTTATGGCAAAATCAAATTTCTGAAGAAGAAAACGGAGGAGGAAGAGGGCAAGGAAGGCCACTTGCCCTCCAAGATATGAGGACTTCCTCTAAAGCTGCAGTAACTAAAAGCAGTGTAACACTGGCCAAGGATGGAAGAACTGGCTACTGGAAGGGAAGAGAGAACCTAGAAATGAGAACATGTGTATATGGACATTTGCTATCTGTAACGAAGCATGCAAGCACCCTAAAAATACCAAAGAGAAAAAGTGAACATGTTAGCAAAATGGTCAAACTGGCAAAAGTTTATTAAGTCTGACCATCAAGAGCTGAAGAAGATGGAGAAGCAAAAACTCAAACACTGTTGGTGAGAACAAACCACAACAGCCACTTGACAGCGGCCAGTTAGCATTTCTAGAATAAGTAAAGATATGCATCCCCTTTGATCTAGAAATTCTACTCCAAGATGTGAGAGACATGTGTCCAAAGGACAGTTTAACTAGAGCACTGCCTGTAATAGTAAACAAACAAACAAACAAAAACAATTTAACTATCCCTTAAGAAACAAATGAATAGGGACTTGCCTGGTGGCACAGTGGTTAAGAATCTGCCTGCCAATGCAGGGGACACAGGTTGGAGCCCTGGCCTGGGAAGATCCCACATGCCATGGAGCAACTAACCCCACGTGCCAGAACTACTGAGCATGTGCTCTAGAGCCCGTAAGGCACAACTTCTGAGCCCGCATGCCACAACTATTTAAGTCCATGTGCCTAGAGCCTGTGCTCCACAACAAGAGAAGCCACCGCAATGAGAAGCTCGCACACCCCAACGCAGAGTAGCCCCCGCTCGCTGCAACTAGAGGAAGCCCACGCACAGCAATGAAGACCCAATGCAGCCAAATATAAATAAAATTATAAAAACAAAAAAACAGCACAAAACAGAAAACCAAGGAGGCTGAAGGATAACATTCTAAAATATATCTTACAGGAATCTGAGGAAAAAAATCGAGGAATTAGGAGAGAAGTAATATTATTAAAGAGGTAATAGCAGAGAATTTTCCAGAATTAAGGACATGAGTCCTTAGCTTGAAAAATCATGGCTTCACAGGCGAATTCTATCAAACCTTTAGAGAAGAGCTAACACTTATCCTTCTCAAACTCTTCCAAAATATAGCAGAGGGAGGAACACTCCCAAACTCATTCTACGAGGCCACCATCACCCTGATACCAAAGCCAGACAAAGATGTCACAAAGAAAGAAAAGTACAGGACAATATCACTGGTGAACATAGATGCAAATATCTTCAACAAAATACTAGCAAACAGAATCTAACAGTGCATTATAAGGATCATACACCATGATCAAGTGGGGTTTATCCCAGGAATGCAAGGATTCTTCAATATATGCAAATCAGTCAATGTGATACAACATATTAACAAACTGAAGGATAAAAACCATATGATATTCTCAATAGATGAAGAAAAAGTTTTCAACACCGATTTTTGATAAAAACCCTCCAGAAAGTAGGCATAGAGGGAACTTTCCTCAACATAATAAAGGCCATATACGACAAACCCACAGCCAACATCGTCCCCAATGGTGAAAAACTGAAACCATTTCTACTAAGATCAGGAACAAGACAAGGTTGCCCACTCTCACCACTATTATTCAACATAGTTTTGGAAGTTTTAGCCACAGCAATCAGAGAAGAAAACGAAACAGAAGGAATCCAAATCGGAAAAGAAGAAGTAAAGCTGTCACTGTTTGCAGATGACGTGATACTATACATAGAGAATCCTGAAGATGCTACCAGAAAACTACTAGAGCTAATCAATGAATTTGGTAAAGTAGCAGGATACAAAATTAATGCACAGAAGTCTCTCGCATTCCTATACACTAATGATGAAAAATCTGAAAGTGAAATTAAGAAAACACTCCCGGGCTTCCCTGGTGGCGCAGTGGTTGGGAGTCTGCCTGCCCACTCAGGGGACACAGGTTCGTGCCCTGGTCCGGGAAGATCCCACGGGCCGCAGAGTGGCTGGGCCTGTGAGCCATGGCCACTGAGCCTGTGCGTCCGGAGCCTGTGCTCCACAACGGGACAGGCCACAACAGAGAGGCCCGCGTACTGCAAAAAAAAAAAAAAAAAAAAGAAAACACTCCCATTTACCACTGCAACAAAAAGAATAAAATACCTAGGAATAAACCTACCTAAGGAGACAAAAGACCTGTATGCAGAAAATTATAAGACACTGATGAAAGAAATTAAATAGGTGGAGAGACATACCATGTACTTGGATTGGAAGAATCAACATTGTGAAAATGACTCTACTACCATAAGCAATCTACAGATTTAATGCAATCCCTATCAAACTATCAATGGCATTTTTCACAGAACTAGAACAAAAAATTTCACAATTTGTATGGAAACACAAAAGACCCCGAATAGCCAAAGCAATATTGAGAAAGAAAAACGGAGCTGGACGAATCAGGCACCGACTTCAGACTATACTACAAAGCTACAGTAATCAAGAGAGTATGGTACTGGCACAAAAACAGAAATATAGCTCAATGGAACAGGATACAAAGCCCAGAGATAAACCCACGCACATATGGTCACCTTATCTTTGATAAAGGAGGCAGGAGTATACAATGGAGAAAAGACAGCCTCTTCAATAAGTGGTGCTGGGAAAACTGGACAGCTACATGTAAAAGAATAAAATTAGAACACTCCCTAACACCATACACAAAAATAAACTCAAAATGCATGGAAGACCTAAATGTAGGCCAGACCCTATCAAACTCTTAGAGGAAAACATAGGCAGAGCACTCTATGACATAAATCACAGCAAGATCCTTTTTGACCCACCTCCTAAAGAAATGGAAATAGAGACAAAAACAGACAAATGGGACCTAATGAAACTTAAAAGCTTTTGCACAGCAAAGGAAACCATAAACAAGATAAAAAGACAACCCTCAGAATGGGAGAAAATATTTGCAAATGAAGCAACTGACAAAGGATTAATTTCCAAAATTTACAAGCAGCTCGTGCAGCTCAGTAACAAAAAAACAAACAACCCAATCCAAAAATGGGCAGAAGACCTAAATAGACATTTCTCCAAAGAAGATATACAGAGTGCCAACAAACACGTGAAAGAATGGTCAACATCATTAATCATTAGAGAAATGCAAATCAAAACTACAATGAGATATCATCTCACACCAGTCAGAATGGCCATCATCAAAAAATCTACAAACAGTAAATGCTGAGAGGGTGTGGAGAGGTGGGAACCCTCTTGCACTGTTGGTGGGAATGTAAATTGGTACAGCCACTATGGAGAACAGTATGAAGGTTCCTTAAACTAAAAATAGAACTACCATACGACCCAGCAATCTCACTACTGGGCATATATATACCCTGAGAAAACCATAATTCAAAATAAGTCATGTACCACAATGTTCACTGAAGCCCTGTTTACAATAGCCAGGACACGGAAGAAACCTAAGTGTCCAGTGACAGATGAATGGATAAAGAAGATGTGGCACATATATAAAATGGAATATTACTCAGCCATAAAAAGAAACGAAATTGAGTTATTTGTAGTGAGGTGGATCGATCTAGAGACTGTCATACAGAGTAAAGTAAGTCAGAAAGAGAAAAACAAATACTGTATGCTAACACATATATATGGAATCTAAAAAAAAAAAGGTCATGAAGAACCTAGGGGCAGGACGGGAATAAAGACGCAGACCTACTAGAGAATGGACTTGAGGACACGGGGAGGGGGAAGGGTAAGCTGGGACAAAGTGAGAGAGTGGCATGGATATATATACACTACCAAATGTAAAACAGATAGCTAGTGGGAAGGAGCCGCATAGCACAGGGAGATCAGCTCGGTGTTTTGTGACCACCTAGAGGGGTGGGATAGGGAGGGTGGGAGGGAGGGAGAGACAAGAGGGAAGAGATATGGGGATATGTGTATATGTATAGATGATTCACTTGTTATAAAGCAGAAACTAACAAACCATTGTAAAGCAATTATACTCCAATAAAGATGTGAAAAAAAAAAAGAAAAATCATACTAAATTCTAAACATAATAAATAAAAATCTTATAGACTACCAGGGAAAAAAAGACAGATTTTCCACAAAAGAAAGCTAATCAGACCAATAGCACTCTGCTCACCAGCAGCTCACCAGGTCACAATGGAATACTTTCTTTAAAACGTTCAAGAAAAACAAGCTGTCAATCTAGTCGTCTATATCCAGCTAAATTATCATTCAAGAATGAGCAACGACATTGTAAATCAACTATACTTCAATAAAATTTTTAAAATAAGTAAATAAGTAAATAACATAAATGATAGCATGGGGGAAAGAATGACACAAAAAAAGGGAAATCTAAACCCAGAAGGAATGAGTGGGATAAAAGAAGCAATGGTAAATTACTAAATTTTAGTAAGTAGAGACTGTAAAAACTGTAATAATCACACTTTTGTGGCATAAAAATAGGGTCAAACTAAATACAGTAGAAACTCTATTAACAAACAAGCCTCCACTTAACCAAATTACTAATGGGTAAACGTAAGCATTCTGTTCCTTCCGTGAAATATACTGCTGATGGTATATTAAAGGATTTCAGTTGGTAAGCTTTTCTTTAGAAAATCCATCCCACTTCAGAAGGCCTAAAGATACTCTCCTTTATCATTTTCTAAAAAGTTTATAGTCCATTGGGAATTGATTTCTGAGTATGATGTGAAGGAGGTAGTGGTTCATTCTTTCTATTAAAAAAAAAAAGGCCTTTATTGAATATAATCATGCTCTTATAAGTTGAGCTCAGCTTACTATGAGTCAGTTGTATTTTTGTTTTTTAATTTATGTTTGGCTGCTTTGGGTCTTCATTGCTGCACGTGGGCCCTCTCCAGTTGTGACGAGCAGGGGCCGCTCCTCCCTGTGGTGCACAGGCCTCTCATTGCGGTGGCCTCTCCCGTTGCAGAGCATGGGCTCCAGGCACGTGGGCCCCAGTAGTTGTGGCTCACGGGCTCCAGAGTGCACGCTCAGCAGTTGTGGCACATGGGCCCAGTTGCCCCACGGCATGTGGGATCCTCCCGGAACAGGGCTCGAACCCGTGTCCCCTGCATTGGCAGGCAGACTCCCAACCACTGCGCCACCAGGGAAGCCCCCAGTTGTATTTTTTCAAACCTGTTTATGCCAGCAGTATTTGTTAATTTAATAACAAGTCAGTGCAAATAGCGCAAAAAAAGAATCTCTCTGAAAACATGTCCAAAACTTTGGAAAGACCTGATAGACAAGTTACTTTAAAAAATTTTCCAATAAATTTGGTATAGACCAGATGATTATAAATAATTATTCAGGGAAATCATAAAACTCTAGGATTTTTCATTTTATAGTATGTGAAAACCAGTGTTTTCATGTTTGCTGGGACAAATACGAAAACACTACATGAAAATGATTTTCAGTTTTTGTACTATTAAAAAAACCCCAAATTGAAATGGTAGCTGATGTATTCTGGGCGTGGTTTAAATAAGGAAGATAATGTAGAACTCTAATCAACAGGCTGAAGCTAAACTAAAACAAAAAAAAGTATTATTGGCTCTATATCAAAAGATTGGTGAATGAATATATATTTATGTTTTAAGTTAAAATGTTGAAAACAAACAAACAAGCTGAAAAATACTGAATACAATCAGGAAGAGTATGAAAAACATTCCAGAAAATTATTTTTCTCTTGTATGAAATCATGCTGAACCTGAATGGAATGGCACTTTCTGTAATTCAATATTATGAACCGAGAAGATGCAGAAGGCTGTTAGAATGTCTCAGGTGATAGAACCATTTCTTTGTACAAAGATAGTCTGAAAAGAGTATAGCTGAGAAGTAACTTGATTTTCACACTTACCATTTTTTTCCAATGGCTGGGTTATGGGGCCAGGAGTGGCAAAGAAATTATTGTTGGTCACTGGTTCTGTTTCTATGGCCTCCTCACTGGCGTGATTCGTAAGGAAATAATAAGGTCAAAAAAAAGTTAATATTTAACCTCTGGAAAAAAATTTAATCTTACTATATATCATCAAGTCTGGACAAATATTCAGTTATGTTTTATGGAACAGTAGTCCCACGGAACAAATTGTTTTTTTGTTTTTAAATGTATATCCATGGCTCAAAAAAAGGTTAAGGACCATTTTGTATTGACAGTTTTGACTTAGAAGTGGGTTAAAAGTCTTTAACGTAGGGACTTCCCTGGCGGTCCAGTGGTTGGAACTCTGCGCTTCCACTGCAGAGGGGCACAGGTTTGATCCCTGGTCGGGAAACTAGGATCCAACATGCCGTGTGGCCAAAAAAACCCAAAAACAACTTTGACTTCAAGGAAAGCTATGAGTTCAACTCATTAGTTCAAATATAGGAATTGTATAGCTCATGGCTTCAAAAATCATAAAGTGGAATTTTATACCAGTATACAGATAGAGATTAAGAACTTTTTTTTAGACTAAGAAGACTCATCCTGCTATCTTAAGGTAGTTCTAGCCAATTACCCAGATGTCTGAAATACAGTTATAAAGAAGAGTATCACTGAATACTAGAAAATGGTTCAATTAACCAACTGTCCTAGTGTAATTTACTGAATAATCTTTACTTCAAAAACACCTTCAGTATATATTAAGTTCTTAGGTAAATTAGAGGCTGTTTCTGGGCTATTCTGTTCCTGCAATAGGTCCATTCTGTCACAATTTTATACTGCTTTACTTACTGTAGCTTTATATATTTTAATAACTAGTAGGTTAAGTCCCCTCATTACTGTTATTTTTCATTATTTTCTTAGTTATCCTTACTTTTTATTCTTCCAAATAATTTTAGAATAATTCTGTCAAATATCCCTCACTTTCTACCTTAAAAAAAAATCCCAAGGAGGTTTTATTGTAATTGTATGATATCCACAAATTAACTTGATATGATTGAACATCTTAATAATATTCAGGCATTCTATTCAGGATTATGGTCTATTTTTTCATCCTAATTTTCCCTTTATATAACTCAGAAATATTTAATGGTTTTATTCACATAGGTCTTTCACATACAACTGGCATGAGTATTTTACCTTTCTGTTTCAAATTGAATGATTTTCCCCCCTGTATTTACCAATTAGTTATTAATAAAATATAGGAAAGCATATTACTTTAAATAGTTATAACTATATAAAATACATCTTATCAATATATCAGCTTCTTTCTTGAACTTTTATTATTTCTAGAAATTTTAGATGTGACTTTCTCGAGTTGCCCAGGCACAAAACATGGCCTAGAAATACATCAGAGTAATACTTATTTCTGTTTCCTATCTCATTACATAGGCCAGAACATCAAGAATGACATTAAAAAAAAATGATGTTTAATAGTGGTAACAGATAGCTTCACTATTAAGTTAGATATTCATATTGTTTACTATGTTAATGAAGTATCTTTCCACTTAGAATTTGACCAAACAATTTAAATGAAGAACAGGTGTCAAATTTCATAAAATTCCTTACTGAGGAATAATAGGATAATCTATTGAGATTACCCTAGTTTTAAATTAATTAATTAATTTTATTTTTGGCTGCGTTGGGTCTTTGTTGCTGCATGCGGGCCTTTCTAGTTGTGGCGAGCAGAGGCTACTCTTTGTTGTGGTGTATGTGCTTCTCATTGTGGTGGCTTCTCTTGTTGCAGAGCATGGGTTCCAGGCATGCGGGCTTTGGTAGTTGTGGCTCACGGGCTCTGGAGTGCAGGCTCAGTAGTTGTGGCGCAAGGGCTTAGTTGCTCCACGGCATGTGGGATCTTCCCGGACCAGTGCTCGAACCCATGTCCCCTGCACTGGCAGGCGGTTCCTTAACCACTGCACCACCAGGTTAAGTCCTCTTTTTTTTCTTGTTGAATCATAGAAATGGTGTATTTTATGGGTTCCCAAATATTAAACTTATCTTTGCATTCCTGGGACAAGCTTAACGTGGAAGTTATGCATTATAGTTTTACTATTCTGTAGAATTCAATTTATGAGTATTTTAATTGGGATTTTAACATGTATATTCACAATTAGATTGGGCCATAGCTTCCTTTGGTGTGCTCTTTCTGTGTTTGTATCAAGGGTATATCAATGTCAAACTGAACTGCAGAGTTTTCTGTCGTATTCTAGTTTTAGAAAAATAACTTTTTTTTGAGTGTGTGTTCCAATAAAATTTTATTTACAAAAAATAGGCAGTAGGCTGGGTTTGGTCTCTGGCTATAGTTTGAAGACCCCTGAGAATGACAGTTCTTTTTAAAAATCATTGTTTTCATAGTATCTCATTCTTAAGGCAGTTTATAATTTTTTATCCATTATACCCCACTAACTCTATGTAAGCAGGATGGGTATGGTTGTATCCATTTCACTAGCGTTTGTGAGTCTGGAGGTCCCCAGGTTAGGTGTTGGCATCTGAACTAGAACGTATGTCTCCTTCTCAGAAAAAGAACTTTTATGTAAGATGGAAGGTATATGTTCTCTGAAATTATGAAAGGATTCAATCCAGGAAACCATCTGTGCCCAGAGCTTTTTGGAGCTACTTCTCTGATAACTTTTCTAGTTTTCTTCTCTGATTTTTGGTCTATATAGGTTTTCTAATTCAAGTCTGTTTTGATAATTTTGTGTTGTTTTCAAAACTTTTTAATTTATCTGAATTTTCTAAATTTCCCAGTATTATACCCTATAGTATTTCTAATAGCTTGAAAAATAAAAAATATAGCCCATAGCTCCTAGTTTTGCCATTTACATTAATGTTTAAATAAGAACCAGTTCTCCAACATACCAGTTTTCCCCTTCTGAAAATAGTCTGTAATGACATTTTATCTTCAGTGTTCACTCTCTTCACTTTTCCCCACAATTGTGGGGTTTTCTTCTGACACTTTGAGTTGAATGTTTATTTTCCTTCTTTAATAACCACAGTTCTTAAAGGTATGGATTTATAGGTGGTACTGTGATATGCGGTATTTTCATTTTCATTGTAACTCATTAATTACCACTTCCATACTAATCACTCCCCATCTCTTTAGTCTAGCATGGAATTCATCACTGCGCTTCAAATTCATATTAAAATACCTAAGCTTAAGAGCACCTCAAAACCAACATGTAAGGAAACTCATCACCTTTACTGCATCCCAAGCTGCAGGTATTTCTATTTCAGTTCCCAAGCATCACTTCAGGCAACAAAACAGAAATCTGTGATTTACCCAAGATCCTCTTCTCTTCCCAAGTCTCCATACCAAATCAGTCGTAAGTTTTTAATAATTTTACTTTTTATTTTATCCCTTCTTCTCTATCCTACCATATACCATCTGTTTTCAGGCTCTTACCATTCCTTCTATATCTTCTAACCTGAGGAAACTAATAGCTAACACTTTACTGATGGAATTGGTGATTCAGAGAAGTTTGAAATATGAAGTATCTGAAAATCTTTGAAGGAAAGATATTGTCTGAAACATACTTCTTCTAGGGAAAAAAAAAATCAAATACAAAAGATTTAGAAAGTTAGATAAAATGCTCCTTTTAAGAAAGCTGCTTACCTGTTATTCTTCACATTTTTAAGTCCCATTGTATAATCTTCATTTAAACACATAGTATATTCAGAGATACCAAAGTGTTCTAATTTAGGAGTCACACACTCAAAATCATCCATCTTTAGTGCGCATTTGGGAGTTTTTACTAGTGGCTGTTTGGAAAATGGAGTTAAAATTTTTGGCTCTTCCTTCTCGTTGTTTACTGCCTGGGGAGGGTTTGGCAGAACTTGGGATATCATGTACCGCTCGAGTCCAAAATCGGAAAGTTGTGGACTACGTGGAGGCTTCTCAGAAACAGAACTGCTTGGAGGAGCGGAATCCGACAAATCACCCTTCACATCAGGCTTCTCAGGATTTTCACGTTTATTGTTCTCTGGTTTAGAGTCAACGACTTCTTGCTCATCCCCTGGGAGGAAAAGCCAAGGTCATATTCTGGTCAAACAGCAGACTAGAAAATGTCATACACTAAAACCACATAAAACAGCTCCATTTGAAATGTCCCAAATCAGCAAAGGTCCTGACTCTCTCCTTATTCTCTAAGGTTTTATTTCAATTGTCCCTTTAAATTTCTGACATGTACCGCCTTGTCCATCCATATGTCATCTAGGGGATTACATTAGAGAAGGGGAGTAAGCTAAAATGTTAAAAGATGAAAAAACAATACTCACAAATAAAGGTGTAATTTCCTTACTTTCTCAGTTAATGTGATTTACCAGTCTTTCTTAACATATTATGAAACTATCTTATCATGTAATGACATTTAATTACAGTGTGGAGTTAACTACTATCTAGATTTAACACAAAGTAAAATAATATTATTTTAGATTTCTAACTTACAGATGGCCTAAGGTAAAAAGGAAAGACTGTTACACAAATATAAATTTTTAACGTAAGTCAGTCTGGAACACCTGTATCAAAAACCTAGTTGAGAGAAATCAGAGGAGAAATTAGTGGGACAAGTAGTTTCTCAATCTTTAATAGGTTTTATCTGACTCCAGACCCCCATATGCTTAACCACTACACTGTACATTTCAGACTAAATAACTTTACTAACAACTATACTTTTTCCCACAGTCCTCTGCCATTTCCTGGGTATACCACTGGTTAATAAGTTTGGTGTGGAACTTAGGTTGGATCCAGGATAGGACTTACAATGCCAAGAAAGAGTTCAAGAAGGAGAAATACTAGTTTTTGGTGTGAGAGACAACAGAAAGTGAAAGAGGATACCTAGAAAGAAGGTAAGTGGATTTGGTCAGGATTTGGGCAGAGATTAATTTAACAAATGATAGGGCTTCAGTTAGACAGTGAGATAGCAAGGTATAAAGGTATAAAGTAGAGAATGGAATGGTGGAAGAAAATGCAGAATAACAAATATAAAATGTGTATTAAAGAAATGTAGTATGAAGTAGAGAAGGAAAATTAACCAATAATTGGAAAGGGCTGATAGAAAGAAGAGACAGAGGAGAGGGTGAGATGAAGGAAGAGAAACTAAAATGTATTTAGAATCCCCGATGGGATAGGCATTTTTTTTTTTGGATAGGCATTTTTATATTTAATTTTTACTCCATTTAATTTTCATATTAACTGCTCCAAGCACAAAAAAAATCTTTGAATATTTTTTCCTCATTTAAAAAATTAAGGTACTTAACAACATTTTGGAGAACATTCAGCTGATAGAATTTAAAGAGCCAAGATCTGAACCCACATCTTTTGATTCTAAATGCTGCCTTATGTTTAAGCATTCGGAGGGAGTTAATAAAGAGATTTGTTTTAGATAATTTTGAACAGATAACATTTGGTTGCTAAATGGGAAATATTAATTGTAATAATCATGCATATTTATTGAAAGAAATGGGAAATAAAATTTTCTAAAATTTCCTGTTTGTTGCATCCTTTTTAAGAAAATACCGGGAAGGGACTTCCCTGGTGGTCCAGTGGCTACGACTCTGTGCTCACAGTGCAGGGGGCCCGGGTTTGATCCCTGGTCAGGAAGCTAGATCCCACAGGCTGCAACTAAGACCAATGAGCCAAATAAATAAATATTAAAAAGAAAATACTTTTACTTTTTTATTTTTTAGGAGTCATTACAGATTGAAGGAAGTGAAGGCTTGAAGGAGGTGAAGAGGTACACGCTTTTTCTATGAAGATACTACTTTCCTTGTTTTGATCGGCAACCGAAACGAACTAGGATAGGGTACTGCTTTTTGTGCATGATAAGCCATGACATGTTCAATGTGCAGGATGCACCATTAAGAAAAAGTTATAAACTTTGATTTTGTGGCTTTTGGCCCTTGGAAGAGCTGCTGGTCCAGAGCTGTTCTGGCATTGTACTTTCTGTTAGTTTTGAGAAATGTTACAAGAACTACCAAAAAACCTATTGTTGAATTTAATTACAAGGCTGTCACTGATGAGTTTGATAAAATAAAGTTATCACCATTATTACTACCTCTTAGGGAGGTATTAGCATCTCTAGTTCACTAGTGAGGAAAAGCAATTTAGAGAAATTATCCAAGGTCACACTTGTAGTAACTGGTGGAACCAGTTTCTGAGTAACCCAAGTCAACCTGTCCACACCAAAGTCAACTGAATTCTTTCCATTATACCATGCGGATTATTTAATATAGCTTCATATATATCCTCGATATATACATATTTGTTGAATCTAATTAATGTTTTATTTATGTACAAAGACTCTCATAGCAGAAATGAAGACACTGAAGCATATTGAAATTAGTTACTCACAGTTATGGGTATAACAATAATAATAGTTAACAATGGGTGATTAGCATACGAGGTACTGTTCTAAGCAAATTTTATCTCATTTAATCCTTATACAGCCTCAGAGGTAGATACTATTAAACATATCTACTTTATAGGACTTCCCTGGTGGTCCAGTGGTTAGGACTCGGTGCTTTCACTGCCGTGGTCCTGGGCTCAGTTCCTGGGCTCAGTTCCTGGTCGGGGAACTAAGATACTGCAAGCCATGTGGCGCAGCCAAAAACAAAACAAAATTCTCTCATTTATAGATGAGAAGGTGAGGTACAGAGTTAAGTAACTGGTCAAAGATTAATACAGCTAGAATTAATAATTCTAAACCATCATGCTATCCTACCCTTCATTAGAATTTTAGAACTAAAAAGGACTTTACGAATTTATATAGCCAAAAATCTCTCATTCTATGGAAGAAGAAACTGAGAACGAGAAAAGTGAAATAGCATGCCTTAAAGCTGGTCTCTCAGCTGTTTACTGGCAGAGCTGACCAGAAACAACTATCCTCAAGTGACATAGATTTATCTGGTACCCTTCTTTCATCTAGCACTGTGTTGGTTCTCATCTAGCATTTGCAAAGGAGAGCAAGGACTGTCTTTATATTGTACCACTGATCAGCACTGCATCTAGAACACAGTGATTGCTGAATAAATGATCAAAGGACTATCATATAATGGCAGAGTCAGAACTAGAAACAATGGCCAAGCCTATAGTAGTCTTAATCATGCTGCCTTCTTTCTTTAATACTAAAACAAATGCTATAAAATGCAAGTTATTCACACCTGAATTTTCCTTGGCACGTGGATTATATCCATATTTCTGGAAAAACTCTCTAATTTTCATGATATCCATTGAATTTTTTTTCATCAGTACTTTTGTTGCCTTTATGAAACCAATGCTTTCTTGACTTTCCAGGCTTGCTTCATCAAGAAGAATATTGACATCATCCTTTTATGAGGAAAGAAAGTACATTTTAATTTAACTTTTGACTAAGTCTATTTAGTTTTTTTAAATTACCACATAAAAATGATAAATTAATATTGTAGGATTGATACCTTTAGAGTCCGGACTTCTGAATGAAGGTCATGTAAAACTCTCATTGGATAATCTTCAAAGTCTTCAATATGAATATTGAAAGAAAAAAGTATAACAAGGAAAAGGAGGAAAAAGAAAGAAAATGTAATTTAGTATAGTTATTTAGAATTACAAAATCCTTGTAGATACTTATTTATAATTTATATCCTGTCATTTGCAAAGAAAAGTGTTAAGACTTTTCTTTAAAATTTTTATTAAACTATAACATACATACAGAAAAGTATAGAAATCATAAGTATATAGTTTGATGAACTTTCAAAGTGAACATACCTATGTAATCAGCACTCAGAGCAGGGACTGGAGGAAGGAAGAGGGAATGTAGTCCTACTTATCTGTTTTTCATTTATGGTGAGTACGCTTTGGTTCCTATTTTTAAAATCTTTGCCAGTGACAATGCTTTGTTTTCTTCTAAAAACTTTATTGTTTGGCCTTTTGCATTAATTTAATTAATTAATTAATTTTTGGCTGCATTGGGTCTTCGTTGTTGCACGTGGGCTTTCTCTAGTTGCGGCGAGCAGGGGCTACTCTTCATTGAGGTGTGCGGGCTTCTCATTGCAGTGGCTTCCCTTGTTGCAGAGCATGGGCTCTAGGCGGGCTCAGGAGCTGCGGTGCATGGGCTTAGTTGCTCCACAGCGTGTAGGATCTTCTGGGACCAGGGCTCGAACCTGTGTCTCCCGCATTGGCAGGTGGATTCTTAACCACTGCACCACCAGGGAAGTCCTGGCCTTTTGCATTTAGAGCTACAATCCATCAGGAATTGATTTTTGTGTATGCCAAGAGGTAAGGATCAAGATCCATTCTTTTTTTTCCATATGAGTGTGCAATTGACCTGGCACTGAAAAGAAATCCTTTATCCACTGTACCATCACCTTTCTAATTAACCACTTGGTCATATACCTGACATAGAAGCAGTTTTTAAAAAGATTTCTCTTTTCTATAATATGCCTCCTTTCAAGACTATCTCCTTCCACCTGTTAAAAGTTGATCAATTTTCACATTTGTAGAGATGTGGATGGACCTAGAGACTGTCATACAGAGTGAAGTAAGTCAGAAAGAGAAAAACAACTATTGTAGATTAACGCATATATGTGTAATCTAGAAAAATGGTACAGATGAACTGGTTTGCAGGGCAGAAATACACGCAGATGTAGAGAACAAACGTATGGACGCCAATGGGGGAAAGCGAGGGTGGGTGGTGGTGGTGGTGGGATGAATTGGGAGATTGGGATTGACATATATACACTAATATGTATAAAATGGATAACTAATAAGAACCTGCTGTATAAAAAAAAGAGTTGACCAATTTTCATTAGGAAAATGCAAATCAACAACACAGTGATATTGTATTTCATACCACTAGAATGACTATAATTAAAAAGAAAGACAATAGGGCTTCCCTGGTGGCGCAGTGGTTGAGAGTCCACCTGCCGATGCAGGGGACACGGGTTCGTGCCCCGGTCTGGGAAGATCCCACATGCCGCGGAGCGGCTGGGCCCGTGAGCCATGGCCGCTGAGCCTGCGCGTCCGGAGCCTGTGCTCCGCAACGGGAGAGGCCACAACAGTGAGAGGCCCGCGTACCGCCAAAAAAAAAAAAAAAAAAAAGACAGACAATAACAAATGTTGATGAGGAAGTGGAGAAACTGCATCCCTTATTCACTGCTGGGGGAAATGTACAGTGGTACACTTTGGTAAACAATTTGGTCGTTCCTCAAAAAGCTAAACACAGATTTACCATATGACCCAGCAATTCCACTTCTAAATGCATACCAAAGAGAACTGAAGATATTACGTTCACATAAAGCGTTGGCACACGAGTGTTTACAACAGCATTAGTCATAATAGCCAAAGTATAAACAACCCAAATGTTCATCAACTGATGGATAAACAAAATGTGGTAAATCCATACAATGAAATATTATTCAGCAATAAAATGTAATGAAATACTGATACATGCTACCATGACAGGGATGAACCTTGCAACCCTTCGCTAAGTGAAATGTCAGTCACAAAAGAGTACAGATTGTACAATTCCATTTATAGGAGATGTCCGTAATAGGCAGATCTAGAGAGACAGAAAGTAGATTAGCGGCCGCATAAAGCAGTGCGGTAGGTGGGAGCAAGATTCCGGGGACTGGCTGTCAACAGTCACCGGGGTTTGTTTCGGGGGGTTATGAAAATCTAAACTCAGTGTGATGATGGTTGCACACCTCTGAAGATACTGAAAACCACTGAATTGTATCCTTTAACATGGTGAATTTTATGAGATTCATAACTGTGATCATAGAAGGCGAATTTAGGGGATGTTCATTTTCTCTAATTATCACAATTCCATATTTTCTGTAATACATGCAGGCCAGGAATTGAAAAAATTATTCCAACTTTTTCTTGTAAAACCAAAAGAAAAGAAAGAATGTGTGTAACCAGGCAATAGATTGGTAAGGAGGTAAATTAGCAAAAGCTTTATGGAAAACTATTCAGCTGTCTAAAAATTCCAAAACCATTAATACAGTTTTGTGTCTTATAGTGTTATCTCAACTACGTAAACAAAGTCAAGCAAAACAAGGCAACGCTAAAAGTAAGGATGGTAGAAAAGCTACTGAACTATTAATAGCTGTGTCTTCTGACGATGAAGTTATAGCAAAGACTTATTTTCTTCTTTCTACTTCTCTGTTACCTCAAATTTTTTGCCGTGCACATAATATTGCTTTCACAGGCACAAGCATAAACATTTTTAAATGGCTGGAAAACTATTCATAATATAGTTAAAGGAAAATGAGTCTGCGTCTACAGGGTGCGATATTTTAAGGCGGATTACAGTTATGACGCACAAAATAATCTCAAAATCTGCACTACTCTTGCAACAACTTCAAAAAGTCTCTTAATACAAACGTTAGTGGTGGAGAATTTTGCTTTACCTATATCTTAAAAAGCAGTACTGCGTATTAGCTTTCGTTTTGGCAGTACGGTTTGTTGGGAAAAATACAGACACTGCAACTGTGGACCATCTGGGTGAGACCAAAGTCACTCTACATGTCAAGAACAGGGCTGAGCAGCTGCGGTTAGAAGAAACGTTCTCTTGGTCGTATTTTTCTTGATAAGCCCCCACTACGTGCACTTGAAAGCTCGTCGTGTGTAAATGAGCGTGTGCATTGCGAGCCCAGCCTGCCGGCTCGATTAGGACTTTGGTTTCTAAGTGCGGCTGTTTCTCCGCCCCGCGTCCCTGGTGGGGCAGAGGCTGCGCGCAGCGCTGGTCGGGCCCGGGGGTGCCTGGGGCGAAGGGCGCCGCCGCCTCCCCCGGGAGGGCTCCTCACAGTCAGCCGCCTGTCGGTCGGCCAGTGCGCGCGCCAGCGCCCCTCACGCGGCTCACTCACCGCTGTCCTCTCCGTCCAGCGCTCGATGCAGCCGAGCCGTCTCGCCGTCCAGGGTGACGGCCAGAGACCGCAGCTTCCCGCAGAAGCCCCGGATCAGATCCATGGACCAGCCCCACGCTCGTCCTCAGCGCCCGCGCACGTTTGAATCCCGGCGCCGGAAACGCCATTGGTTCCGCGACTCGCGCAAGGCCCTTCTCGCGAGAGCTGAAGCCTCGCGCGAGGAGACGGGCGGCGCGTCGAGAAAGCGCGCTTGCGGCTTCCGGCTTCCGGCTTCCGGCGTCGTGTGCCGGTGTGAGGAGGGCGGCCGTGAGGCGCGGCTGGTGAGTGTTGGGGCGCGGTCGGGTTGGCCTGCGGGCGGCGGCGGGGCTCCCCTCTCCCTTCTCCCCGTGGCCGGCGCGCTGCCGACTCCCGCTTCTGTGCCCTCGGCAGGCGCCATGTTCCTGACCGCGCTCCTGCGCCGCGGCCGCATCCCCGGCCGGCAGTGGATCGGGAAGCACCGGCGGCCGCGACCCGTGTCGGCGCAGGCGAAGCAGAACATGGTTCGCCGCCTGGAGGTCGAGGCGGAGAACCACTACTGGCTCAGCCGGCCTTTCCTCACGGCCGAGCAGGAGCGGGGCCACGCGGCAGCCCGCCGGGCGGCCGCCTTCCAGGCGCTCAAGGCGGCGCAGGCGTCCAAGTTCCCCGCGTCCCGGCGGCTGGAGGACCAGCTCGGCCACCTCAAGGTCACCGGGAAGTGGTCCTGACCCGCGCCACGCCGCCTGCGTCCTGCGGCGACGAGCGGGAGCCTCTGGCCGGAGCCCCACGGAGCCCCGGCCAAGCCGAGCGAGTGCCTGCGACGGAGGCCCCGGGCCCGCGCTCCCCACCGCCCGCAGTGTGTCTCGGTCGGATCGCGTCTCGCTTCTCTTGTCCTGAGGACGGAACGGACGGCGCCTGCGTCTTACGGGATGCGGAACGCAACCTGCGCGCAGCCGCAATAAAGCTGCCGACCGCGCTCTGGCCTCTGGGCCTCGGTGCGAGATTCTGCCGGGGGCTTTGCCGTGCATGCTCGCTTACCTTCTGCCGACAGGTCTTGCCTAAGCGGACATGAAAAAAATCTACTCTTCCAGTTAAACGCGCTCCTAAAAATAGCGGTTTCTGGTGAGATTTGCTCCAAAAATTGGACAATTGGACATCGTCTATTTTGGGGGACTTCCCCCGGAACTAAGACCCTTAAGCCAGGCGGCGCAGCCAAAAAACAAACCAGACAAACAATAGTCTGTTTAAAAAAAATCAGGTTGTCACCTCAGTATTGAAATTTAAGGATGATTTATGTGTTTTGGATATGAGTCCTTTTTCAGGTATTCTTTTTCCAGTGTTCGATTTTTCATTCTTTTAACAGAATGGCTTTCAAAGAATGGAAGTTCTTAGGTTTGATGAAGGGGACAATTGAAAATTGTTCAATAAAAGCTAAATTAAAACGTTTTTGATAAAGCCGTGTGTGCTCTGGCGTAGGCAGACCACAGTGTCGTCGCACTCAGGTAGTCCCCGTGGTTACCCGAAGGATCAGCCCCATCGCTTTCCCAAGGCAACACTGTACCTTGCCACACCTGCCAGGTGACTAAAGCAACAGTCATACTCTTAACAACAACAACAGCAACAACAGCTGTTCAAATACAGGACTTTATTTATTTATTAATAAAGTAATCATTATTACGATTTTTGAAAAAAACAAGTTTTAAAATGTTCAGCCTTCATGTTAATGTAGGTTAGGCCACCCAAAAGGCAAAGCAAAGATAACATTAAGTCATGGTCCAGGGTTACACTTATGAAAAACAAATACAAGATTTACGGGACATGATATGTAAAAACAACCAAAGTAAACTATTTCAAATTTGTTTATATAAAAACATATTAAAGATCACTTCAAAATAGTGTCCACCTTTTCTGTAAATGGGCATAGACTAACCTGCAATCATGTACAAATGTGATAAACTCAACAGCTTTCTGAAGCTTTTAATACAAACACAATTCCTTGCTGCTTTATGCAACTCAACAAAATAATACAAAGTGAAGTCGTTAGAAAAATATGGACCTTGCTGAATCTATCTTGCATTTTTAATTTAAGTTGGAAAATATAGTTCAGATCATAAGAAACACATGAATTTTAGACTTACATATTAGCTGTATCTTATAGAATATGAGATACGGTCTTTATTTTGGCTGAAATGCAAAAATATGGTTAATTTCTCTAACAGATTAGTTAAAAATACTTTCCATTGATAGCAGTGCTAGTCCTAGAACAAAACGTAAGCAAAACATCTGTAAGTCAGTTGTCTTATCAGCGCCCCAAATATGCAGATCCTAACACTGAGCCCTTAAAATGCATCTGCTTTAAAGATGACGGAAGGGAAATCTCACATGACTGAAAATCTGAAAATCCTACAAACAGTCAAAATCTGCTATTAATAGAAATAAATTCAAGTAAACATTGCATATTTGATTTAAGCTAAGTTAACTTATGACACTTTGGATCATAACCACTAAATATGTCAAAGGATTTTAAAAAATCATCCATATGCAAAGATGAAACTATACTATGTAAGCGGTGCAAGTTCAGTGACCACTAAGCTGTAGCTGCTCTTTGGTTTGGCACAGTGACAGTGGTCAGATGCCTCAGGTACTGAATATTCAAGTAAGTTTGTACCCACGTAAAACCAAGTTTCCTGTCTAATTTGTTTTTAATGGCAATGGCAAGACCTGAAATTCAACTTTTATTTTCCTTAAATATTATCACAACTGTTCAAGTGTTTGAAGGAACAAAGACAGTACTAATAAATTTTGACAGGGCTTCATTCTGACCATTTCTCCGCAAAGGTTGGCAGCACTAATCAATCCCAGAGAAATACCAAAGAGTCAGCCTTTCCCTGATTCCCATACCACTTGTAGGCCCTTGCCAACAGTCATTAATATGTACAACTAAACGAAGCCAAATATTTAGAACATGGCAAATGTTGGCCATAAATTAATTAAACCAAAGGTAACTAAATTAAAAGGCTTTAGCTGAAAATTCCTGAAAAGGTGTTTACTAATGCTATTAAGATGATGTTAACATAGTGAAAGAACTGAAAAAGAAACACCACAAAAGCACCCAAATAGGTTAAAGGGAAAAGTAAGTTTCCTCAGTTGTTAGGTGCATGCAAATCCTTTGACCTGAATGTAAAAATACCCACAAGAAGTACCAGGACATTTCTGAAAGCAGTCACTTACGTTTAAACATTTACTATTTCCTTATAATACTCAAACCGCCAAACTGAAGTGGTGTTTCTGGTTGGTAAACTGATATCCCTTAACTCTCATAAGTTTTCTAGAATCAAGATTATTAAGACTACAGTGTTGAAATAAAGGTAGAAACTGTATTACAGTATTCCAAACTATATTTTCAAAGCTAAACTCATTCCTCTAGTTCAAAGGGGGAAAAAATTACTTGCTTTTAACATCTAATATTAATATAGCCCATGGAATTAGACAAATCCTATAAATTATAAACCTGGAATAGTAGGCTATAAAATTTGTGCTACATTAGGAGATTATAGAGCTATCCCTAGTATATTGTTTGGCGTCCAGAAGGAACTCCAAATATACCTGTTGGACGAATGTTAAGTAAGGTATTATGCAAAATTAGAAATTGAAGAATGTTAAAGGTCGTCCAGTCGAAATCATTCTTAACACCCCTCTCCCCAACCCCATTTTATAGACAAGGAAACTATAACATGTTTTTACAGACGCTGGTTAAAACTGATCTCCACCCACCACTGGAAGCAATCAGTCATTTTAGCTTGTGTGTGTCTGACTAAGCAGAGTATAAAGGAGGAGTAACATCTGTATATTGTTTCTCCGCTATAGGACACTATTTTCCTTTAGAATCAATGCAACGATCCCTGTCACTTAGATTGGATTTCAAAAGGAAAAGGGGGATAAGTGTCTAGGCAGAAAGGGGTTGCTGTTAGGAAGTCAGATTTAAAATCCTGCATGTAAGAGTGGAATCCACCTCTCAGAGAATGGAAGCTTTGAATGATACTCAAGTGAGAATTTCCTTCTCGGGAGCAGTGTTATGCTGAACAGTCTGACCCTAGTTCAAATTGTATTTTATGTTGCTGTTTAAGCTATTATAGGATTACTGTAAAAAGTTTCAAAGCAAATTTCAGTCATTACCTAAATTGAAATTTGCAAGTCAGCTCAGCAGCAGGCAGCACTCTGAAAACATACTTTAACAGCTTTCTGTAGCTTGTCTTTCGCTTTATTTTTCTTCCAGCCACTTCTACCCAATCCTACTGTGTCCAGTATTTCTACAGCACACGTAACCTTTGTTTCTCTACCTGTATAAATACCCATGAAAGTTCAACAAGAGTATATTGAGAGCAGAGAGAAACAAAAAAATTTCTTATACTGCCAAATTTTCTTTAAGCCTTGGGCACAACACTGCACATGGTTTAATTAATGCTTAGAACTAAGCCTTCAATGAATTATACAAATATGCTCCATGTTTTAAATGATTAGGTATCTAAATCCTTCTGAGTGTTATTTTATAGCAACAATAAAAAAAATCTTTAGTAAAAATGTTGAAAAGTATAAAACAGTAACTATAAATTAGCAAACACCAAGTTGTTTTTAAAGCAATTATTTTCTTTTTCTTACACAGTACAAGCACTCTCAGCCACCATACTGACCTAGATGTACTTCACTTAAAACAAGTTTTTTACCTTGTGTTTCTGGAGTGAAAATTTATATGGATACTAAGAACTCTAATAATGTAACTCAGGTATCAAAAGAATACATACGCCATGTTAACATGTGACCTGACAGCTCATATTATAGCATATCATAATACGTTATTATGAGTAAATGTTATTTCCAAAGTAAAATTAAGTCACTTTTGTAGCTGTAAGTCAGTGTTGAACAAGTGGGCTCATTTAAGATTAAGGCATCTTCCAGCTCTGGAGCAGTGCTTCTGTGGATCCAACAATCTGTACAAAGGTTTCCTTTTTTAAAAAATATATCTTCATTTATACTTCAATTATTTAATTCCACTGATCATCATCTTGCGTATAAAACTGAAAATATTCAGTCCATAATGTTTTTTATAAACCTATAAAACCGGAAACAATTGAATTATTGATTAAAACTTGATTTTATATTTCTG